TTTTTTTCCTTTTTGTTTGCTTTCTTTTTTTTTTTCCCTTTTTTTTCCCACCTCTGATACACAAAGGGTGTGCTTGTGTGCGGGTGGGTGCGTGGGGGTACATCCATCCCGAAAACGATACACAAACAACGCGCCAAAGAAAAGAAAAAGAAAAAAACGCGGAAGCCCGACGCGCCAAAATAAAAAATCGAGACCGAAAAAAGCGGCACGAAAAAGAAAAAAGAAAAACACGACGCGCCAAAATGAAAAAAAAAAAATCAAGAATGACAAACGTGGCACAAAAAAAAAAAAAAAAAAAAAAAAAAAAAAAAAAAAAAAGAGAAAAAAAAAAAAAAAAAAAAAAAAAAAAGAAAAAAAAAAAAAAAAAAAAAAAAAAAAAAAAAAAAAAGAAAAAAAAAAAAAAAAAAAAAAAAAAAAAAAAAAAAAAAACAATTGTGGAAAAAAAAAAAAAAAGGTCGTCCGTTTATCGAACGGCGACCCCTTCGGGACGTCCCTCGCATCGACGCCCACCACCGCTCGGCCCCGTGGGCGCGCCCTCTCGTTTTCTGGCGCGCTGTGAACAATTTGGTACGCGCACCGCTCTGCACACCGCCCCTCCCTCGATCGTCTTCGTCCGCCGGCCCAAATCAAAACTTCGGCCTGATTCCGGCGCGCAGCGAAACACAACCTCCCCCTGCAGGCCGCCTGCGCTTAAGGGGTAGGATATATATATATATATATATATATATATATATATATATATATATATTTCCAACTCTTCCTGCAGTCTTGTACGGGAAGGTCAGATCTCTATCGTGGCCCACCATAGTCTGGGTGATCGTGCCAGATCTACGGCTCTCCGTCTTGTTATTTTAGCGGTAGTGCCCTTGTAGGTTGCGCCACGATAGGCTTTCTTCTGATAAGCAATCAATCAGGACTCGAAAAGATTCAATCGACTTGACTCTTATCCCACGTCATTCCGTAGGGGTAAAACCCTCCTAGGTGGCCACACCCTCTTAAGTCTTTACTCCCTTGGCAAGACGTAGGCCTGCTGCCAGGTAATGCCGGTCAGCAGCCAATACTAGGGGTTGCGCCCTGACAATGCTAAACTTTACAGTTCGTTTCGTATTCCTGCCAATGTCTTAAGATTAGCACAAGTGATTGAACGGTATGTCGTAACAATATAGACCTATTGCGGGACTACGCAAAGGTTTGTCACACACAAAAGGCATTTACTAGTCCTCTGTGGGACAACACAGAGAGCACGACATCCTCTCAATTTTCACAAAACAGAATCACCGCCATATTCACAAGGTCGTGACCTCCTAACTTGATCAGAGTAAAAAAGCCACACATCTCAATGACATCTCTCGAATGAACCAATCTTGCGACATCTCAAAAGAAACTTCACTAGTGGCCAAACAAAAACTTGGTCCTTCTCGTCAGTCTTTATCGTTCAAAATCAACTTACTATGTCATTAAATCTTTTAACTGCCTTCCATCTGAAGGAGGTCTCACTCATTAGGTCACCCAGTCATCCCTCTCTCTCTAGGATGTATTTTTTCACAACCTTTCTTTAAAACATCTCCCCTCTCTGAAGATGAGTCTCCAAATAAACAAAAGGCTGCCTTCTCACTCAAAGGTGTTTCAACCATAAAACAACTCAAACTGAGATACCAACTCATGGGTCCTCATCACAACTCAATAATAAACATTCGCTATGGTAAGCATTCGAGCTCAAAGACCCATAAATCTCTTAGGATTCTCGCACCTCATATAAAGACAAACTGCTCTTCCTTTCCTTATACCCGACCCTATCGTCTGCTCGTGGGCAGACCGCACGAGTATACCGAAGAGTAAACAGTTCACATCCGTTCATTTTCACAACATACACAATACATGAGATGTTTCCCATACATCTCTCACACAAAACCATCATTTATCAGGATTAAACTACACATGTGAGAGTGATTGTGATCATCATATACAACAAATAGTCTCAGGTAAAATCTCAACTCAATATATACTCAAGGGTGTAATATTCTAACTCAAAAAAACGAACAATCATAGTCTTGAATTACATATGTACACTTCGAGTTGAACAATCTCAACTAAGAACGACACCAATATCACACAAAGATCGGGGCCTCCTTGACCAGAGCTAGACTGAAACAATCTTGATCGGGATGTAATCACACCCCCTAACTCTAGGGGAATCAACTAAACCCTAAGGCATACCCAAATATCTGAAAAGTAACACAAAGCACACCAGGTAATCATTGCGTTACTAATGTGTTCCACACAAATCTCACATACTATACTTCCAGGCTAGAGAGTCTATGTTTCATACGCACCGAAGTCACTCTCTAAGCCTCCCACACCTCTTATACATATACCACCTTCTTACCCTAGACGGGAAACAAGTCTCAACTCTTCTCCTCTCAATGGTAAGCCTACATACATCTATAGCTTAGAGAGGTCTCTACATCTACTCAAATACACTAGTGTAACAAATTTTCATTACGTAACAACACCCTAAGTGTGACTTGGTACGGTCCTAAGTTCCTAACATACCCCTCGTATAGAACAATTTTGTTAGGATTCCACCCTAAAGCACCCATACCTCATGCCTATGACTCGAGTTATCTTATCGCACCATTATTGTGAAACCCCTTCCCTTCATTCTCAGTACTATTAAACACTGTCTACCGCATGGGCGCGAGGAACACAGCCTTAAGGTAGCCAAATCAATGAGACTAAGAGCTAACACAAGAGAGAGAGAGAGAGAGAGAGAGAGAGAGAGAGAGAGAGAGAGAGAGAGAATTTATTATTATGAGTGTGAGAGCTGTCTCTTATACACATCTAGATGTGTATAAGAGACAGGAGAAAGAGAGAG